AGGGGTCTGATTTTCTCCCTGTGCTGCAAACTTGCAATGCAGGGAACCTTTTTCATTCCCACACGTGTCTCTTGCCCTGCCTCAAAGGGGTTTGAGATGGGGCAAGAGGCATGTGCATGCTCGTCTGGACACGCCCAATGAGACCAACTTAAATAATGTCCTTTCTTCTGCTCATGTAGCACCTGTGAATTATAAGGCTTAACAAAAATAATGTGATGACTTTAAAATTACAAGAGATGTAATATATATTGTAGTATATATAAAGACCCTTGCCTAAGGACTGGGGAGTAGTCAACAATTCTTACTCCCTGAAACTGGAATCAATAATGCAAATGGTGACTTCCTCTGGGAAGAACTACTCATGAGAATAAAGACTACTTGAAGGGGGGGAGAGGGAGGCAAATCTGTAGGATCAGGTACTTCACTATCACAAGCATCACATGAAAAGCAAGCAACATATGAATTTATTCCTGTCTGTGAATGTGACTGGAACTCTGCTGCACACTGATGTCATCTTGTGGCAAGAATTCATCAGCAGTCATTCCAAGCACCAATGTAAGTGCCCTTTCAATAACTGTAACGTCAGCAATGTGACATTTGTTGAACTCAATTTTAGACAACTGTTAATGTGTGTGTGTGTGTTGGGTGGTGGGGGGGTAAAAGTGAATAAATGATACTAATAGTGTCATATCCAGATAATTTCTATTGTTTGTCTCTTATTTATAGGGAAACTGTCAGGCAATTTGGGCCTAAAATGCAAAGTCTTTTATTGTAGTACTGACTTACTGATTTATTGTTTTTAAATGTTCACAGAACATCTTTTAAACATGTCTGTGAAAACAATGTTTGTTCAAATTTAAATGTTCATTTAAAATGTAACTATTTTATGCTATGAATGCTTTGGATGACTAAAAATTGATTTTTTTTTATGAGTCAGTTCTGTTCTTGCTTCAGACTCTACTTTTTTTTGTTTTTGTTTTGCTTCTGTCTCAGCCTGGACAGTAACATCAGTTATTCTCAGGATTTTATTGCTTCAATTATTTGGTTCTGAGAACTGCAAATGCACAGGATTAAAAGTGGTGAAAGAGGTGTTGCAATTCAAAAAGGTTTTGACAGTTTTTTGTCTGGGTCTCTCTGAGCTTGTTTATATCAAAGCTAAGCCATATCCCAAATATAGGTTGCTATTGTCCCTTCTAGCATTCTCTGTCAAATGCAGTTCAAAAACTGCAGCTCAGTACACATTCTTGAGAAAGGGAATAACTTAAATACAAAATGGAAAAGTCTTATTGCACAACACAGTTAAAAACATTAATGAAAGAAAATGATACTGTTAGCAGTAAGAAACTTTAAAAAATGCCTATTTAATACTTAAGACAAGGAACCGCAAACTCAAGAGACCATACAATTTGTGCAAATCATTTGAATGAGCAAGTAGCTGTAGCATATGCAAGAACTATTTTGGTAGTAAATGGTAATGTATTCAAATGAAATAGATCAGATGCACTGCATCTAAATAAAAGTTGACTGTACAATCTAACTCACTGTATTTATTAAGTTGCTCTTGGTATTTAATTTTTCCCTAATATTTTACATTTTTATACCAGAGTTCATTTAATTTCCTAAATCCCCCTCCACCATACACATACACATCCTAGACGTACAGTCACAAAAAGGTAGCAATCAAGCAGTGCACTACACAACAGTAGGAGGAAAGGTATAAAAGTGTCTCAGGAGACTCTTCTAGTCTAGAGGCCTACAAGTAAAATGCACATTTATGTTCTGTGACAGCATGCAAAAATATATAGGAATTTAACGCCCCAACTTACCTGATAGCTGTACTCCCATCTGCATGTACCTTGCAATGATTTTCTTGTAATGATTTTCATTCCTTTGTGTACTTTACAAAGGAAATAAGTGCCATCGTCCCCATTTTCCGGGTGAGGAAACCTATGCAGGCAGGTGAAATGAATGACTCAAGGTCATACAGTTATCTCCTATAGGAGCTTTACTAAATGAGTGATGTATTTGAGTGCCTTCCACCAGTGCCCTGCTATTATCTGTTGGGTGGTTTCCCATTTCTTCTCTTTGTGAGAGAAGTGTGTGCTGTACAGTGTTTAACTTGGAAGGGTCCATAAGACTGCTCTGCATTGGAGAATGCTAGGTCCAAGTATTGCACCTTCCTCTGTGAGTAGAGAGCAGTAAGTTTTCTGTGATAACCCTTGGTTGCTGGAGGAGTTTACTCCATGGCTTTGTACCAGTCCCTGAGAGAACTCAGTCTTGTGCACAGATGAGCTTCACATTTGCTATCAAACTCCATTGTACTGGTGGAACAAAGTTGTGAACCATGGTCTTTTGGACTATAGTTTCCACCACACTTTAGGTATCCTTGTTTCAGAGCTTATCTTCAAAACACTTGATGATTTGATTTAGGCCCTTGAACTTGAGTATATGTTCTGTGGAAAGCCAGGACAGAAGATGGAGGACAAAGCTGTGCTTATGGCTGAGATGCACTGCTGTTTCCTGTACCAGCTTGTATTTCCCAAGGGCTGCAACTTTACTAGGCACATCCCTTACAGGGCTTTAGTCCAACTGAGAAGTAACAAAGGTGTGATTGAAGTCAGGTTCCAGTCAGCCAGGATGAAACTGTCACCAAAAGGAGGGGTTAGAAAGCATTAAGCACACATGCTGCTCAGTGACAAAGCTGGGAAGAAAGCCCAGGCTTCCTGGCTCCTACATTGGTGCATTATCTACTGGAGTACAATGTAATGGCTCTATCTCTTTCTCTCTCTCTTTTTAAACTCTCCTTGCATTAAGTTGCACAATGCTGGGAAATGCTGGCGGGGAGCTTGAAGCCGGAAACAGACCTCCTGGGGGAGAGGGGGAGAGCAGGAAGATACACCTTATTCTGTTCTGCACCATGTTTTTGTCACCTTGTGGCTCCTTCACTCGTTTTCTGGTGTTAGAGAACTACATGCTTCATCGTTCCCTGCTTCTCAGGCTGCTCCATACAAGGGACATCTGATGAAGAGAAGTTGGGGTCACAACGGCTTGTGCTTTCTCTATATTTAGTCAGTCTGTAAAGATATGTATCTGCCCTGCCTTCTGACTTCATTGTAACATGGCTAGCTACCTCTCTCCATACAACAGGGGCCACACACAGGGTGGGGGGAAGGGGAAGGGGGGTGGCTATACAAAAGAGGCATCTCTTGATAAAGTGAATTTAGGGAGATGAAGGCTTATGCTTTCCCTATATTTAGTCAGTCCATAATGACGGGGGCTAGGGTGGCATGGGTGTTAAGATGCATGGTCAACAGCCCAGCACACTGCAAGTTTGAAGCCAGAAGCCCTCACAATGCAGCCATATTAGATTCCAGCAAATCTGTGAATTCTGCTAAGTACCTTGTTACAAGGATGTGAAAACAGAAGGAAAGGAAGTCTATAAAGACACATATCTGCCCTGCCTTCTGACTGCCTTCAGCCTAATGTGGCTAGCTACCGCTTTCCATGCACCAGGGGTGTACAGGTGTGTGTAACCACACACAACGGGCACTTGATGAAGTGAACTTGGGGTGATGAAGGCTTGTGTGCTCTCTATATTTAGTCTGTAAAGATGAGTATTTGCCCTGACTTCCACCTACCTCTCACCACATACCAGGGGACCACCGCACTAGGACTGGCTACACAGCAGGGGCATCTGATAAACTGAACTTGGGGTCACTAAGGCTTGTTTTCTCTCAATACTTAGTCTGTAAAGATGTTATCTGTTCTGACTTCATCCTGACATGGTTGGCTACCTCTCTGCACACACCAGGGTTACGTGGGTGACTATCTGATAAAGTAAACTTGGGGTCTTGAAGGCTTGTTTTCTCTCTATACTTAGCCAGTCTGTAAAGATATTATCTGCCCAGCCTTCTGACTTCAGCCTAACACGGCTAGCTACCTCTCCACACACAGGTGTGTTTTGTGTGTGTGTAGCCACACACAAAGGGCATCTGATTAAGTAAACTTGGTGTTAAAAAGGCTTGTTCTCTCTCTAGATTTAGTCAAGTCTGTAAAGATGTTATCTGCCCTTCCTTCTCACTTCAGCCTGACGTGGCTAGCTACCCCTCTGCACACACCAGGGGTGTGTGTGTGTGGGGCGGGAAACACCGCCCCACACACAAGGAGCATCTGAAGAAACCTTGGCATCACAAAGGCTTGTGCTCCCTCTATATTTAGTCAGTCTGACATCAACCTAACATGGCTAGCTATCTCTCTGCACACACCAGGGGGTCTGTGTGTGGCCACACACGAAGGGCATCTGATGAAGTAGCCTTGGGGTCAGGAAGGCCTGTGCTCTCTATATTTAGTCACTCTGTAAGGATGCATATCTGCCCTAACTTCAGCTTGACATGGCTAGCTACTCCCCTCCACACACCAGGGTGTAGTGTGAGTGTGTATACACCAGGGTGTGTGTCCACAGAGGTCGGTATGACTCCCCCCCCTCCCCCTTGAAGAGGCACCAATCTATACCGTGAGCCCATGGTTCCTGGGCAGGCCTGCCCTGCCCCGCGCGTGTGGGGGCCCAGCAGGGCTCAAGACAGACCCAGCCTAGGCCCGTCCCTTCAGCCCCAGTCCTTTAGCCAGCGCCAAAAAGTGCCCGGCGTTCGGCGTGGGACGTATCTCGCGCTGGCGGGAAGGGGGAGCTCCTGGCGCGCCGCAGCCGCCCGCTCGCGGGGGGGGGGGAGGGGGGGGGGGGGG